TGTGTGTGTGTGTTGTACCAACTGATCAAAATGTTTGGCTTACTCTATATTTCAAGGTCTTACCCAGAGACTTAATTTAAAAAAATAAGCAAAAACTAAACTAACATTACAGCCCAAGGTACAGAGTCCTGTACAGAACTTAAGGAGAAACTAATTAAGTGAAATATAAAGCAACACAAGGAAAGCCTGGGTTAGGGATCTTGGCTGAAAACCAGTTTTGAGTAGGTTTCTTGCAAGAACATCTTAAAAACCATGCATTCTTATTTGTTTGTTTGTTTTTCATAGCTGAGGCAGCATATGTGTTTTTTTTTTTCAATTGTAAAGGTGATGTATAGCGGAGTTACAATTACCTAAGTAAGGTATTGAGTACATTTCTGTTCTTTTTTTCTGTTTTTCCTTCCTTCCTTCCTTCCTTCCTTCCTTCCTTCCTTCCTTCCTTCCTTCCTTCCTTCCTTCCTTCCTTCCTTCCTTGTGTGTGTGCCAGTATGTGGCTCGAACTTAGGGCCTAAGCACTGTCCCTTAGATTTTTCACTCAAGGCAAATGTTCTACCAATGGAGCAATACCTACACTTCTGGCTTTTTGGTGGTTAATTGGAGATAAGAATTTCATGGACTTTTCTTTGTGGGCTGGTTTCGAACCACCATCTTCAGATTTCAGCTTCCTGAGTAGCTAAGACTGCTGGTGTGAGCTACCGGTGCCCATCTAGCAGGTGTGTTCTAAGGGCTGTTGGTGTTGGGTTCTCCTAGCAGGCTGTAGATGGAGAGCAGGACGGTCCTGATGTTACATAGGGTGGACCACTTCTTGAAGATGTCCAGGAAGATGTCACCCTGAGTGTCCACATTGAGGTGGCAGCTGGGAGGAAGGAACTGGAGTACTCTCAGGAGAGCTTGTACCTCAGGGCTACCATCTCTTATGCCAGCTCTCGGTGAAAGGTCCACATCTATTTCAGATGCTTGTCTGATTCAAGGAAGGCAGGCATTCCTCTGTCATCAGACATCCTGAGGGCCATCAGCTCCTGCTGTAGCTTCTTACCTATAGGATCCCACATGGCATCTTTCCCCCTCATTTGGGTCTGCAGTTATATGGGTGGCAGAAATGCTAGTAACCCTGGGTAGCAATTTGGGAGGCTAAATATATGTGTGTGTGTGTGTGTGTGTGTGTGTGTGTGTGTGTGTAACACTGTCAAGTAGACCAGAACTCAGAGAATGCCACTGCCCCTGCCTTTGCCCTTGAAAACTTTAAACTACAGGTACACCTCTGAGGCTCAGCCTTTCCCCAAAGCAGGAGGAAGGTGCAGCTCCCCCACCCATATGGTCAGACCCCTTTCTGCAGCCAGTTCCTCTTTGTTCTGGCAATTGAGGACTGGAAAAAGATGACTTTTTTTTTTTTTTTCTTAGAAAAGACTAGTAGTTCACTTCAACACCAAGAAACTCAGACCTAGCCAAATGCTGGTGGCTTATGCCTGTAATCCTAAATACTCTGAAGACTGCAATTCAAAAATAGCCCAAGGGAAAAGGCTGAGAGACTCATCTCCAATTAACCAGCAGAAAGCTGGACATGGAGGTGTGGTAGAGTGCCTTGAGCCTTGAGCAAAAAAAGTAAAGTGAGAATGAGAGGCACAAAGTTCAAGCTCTGGTACTGGCATAAGTAAATAAGTAATAAATAAATAAATAAGGAACTTAGCTCCAAATGTCCTGGTCTAAGAATTGTGTTCTGTATCCAGCTTTCCCCTAGGCCAAGCAAACTCTCAATGGCAGATTTCATTTTTGTGTCACATACTAGGAATAAAGCACGTATATGCAAAAGTATTTTGCTATTCAAAGTCCTTCTTGTCTATGGTTCTTTTTTTTTTTTTTTTAGTCCAAGACTGGGACTCAAACTTGGTACCTGATGCTTCTGCTTATTGGCTAATGCTCTACCATCAGAGCCATGCCTCTAATCCCATGTGTTGTCAGTTCTCCTCCAGCTTTCCACTCTGCACAAGATCCTGTCCTGGTAGAGAAGGGAAAGTCTGGACATCCTCTGTGAAAGGAAAAAAAAATGGTTTATGAGAAATGACAAAAGCAAATGGAGCAGAGCAGCATCTGGTAGAATTGAGAGAATATACAGGATCCACAGCATCTGGTAGCATTGAGAGAATATACAGGATCCAGAAAACCAGGACTAGGTCGATCTCCTTACCTTATCCTGACAATTCCAACCTGCAGGCTTTGTGCCTGCGAGGGGGATGGGAGACAAAGCTCCTGCAGGCTGCAGCCCAAGCTCTTAACCTTTGAACAACAGGAAGAATCTTTCCCTAAAAGCCCCCTCTCTGCCTTGACTTTGAGGGAGAAACTTAGGAAGGGAGGTTGTAAAGTTGAAAGGTGCATTATTAATATCAGCCACGTTTCAGAAAATGTAAACATTCCCTTTGTTTTTGTTTTCCTCTTTTGCAGGGTTAGGGATCAAACCCAGGACTTGGTGTACTGTGTCATTGAGTTACATCCCTAACTCTTGGTTCTTTGAGATAGGGTTTCACTAGTAGCCCAGACTGGTCTTGATCTTCTGATCCTCCTGTTTCCACTACCTGGGTGCTGGTATTACAGTCCTGCATCACCAGGCCCAGATAAACTTTTTTATTTTTTGTTCTGCTCTTGGAGCTTGAGCTCAGGCCCTGGGTGCTGTCCCTGAACATTTTTCCCCCTCAGATCTAGCATTCTACCACTTGAACCATAGCTCCGCTTCTAGCTTTTTGATGGTTAATTGGAGATAGAGTCTCTTGCACAGGCTGGCTTTGTACCATGATCCTCAGATCTTATCTCAGCTTCCTGAATAGCTAGGATTACAGGCTAAGTCACCAGTGCCCAAAAACATCCTATATTTAAAAAATTAGTATTGCTATTATAAAGGTGATGTATGGAGGGGTTACAGTTATGTAAGTCAGGTAAAGAATACATTTCTTTCTGGACAATGTCGCCCAACATTCTATATTTTAGAAGTCCAATGCGCTATCCATTGTGCTACAGAGCATTCTATATTTTATAGACTTAATACCAACCTCTCACCCCCCAAATTCTGATGAAAACAAATGGCTGCTGCCAGAGGCTTCTTTTTATATAGCAACCCAAACAGGAAACAAAAAAAAAATCTCCATTTCCAAGTAAGAGCCATATTCCTACTCCTGGATCGTCTGTCCTTCGGTAAGTTCTGCCACTTGGGTATCGTTATGAACAAAGTGTGACTGTAAGAGTTTTGTTCTGCCCGGTGGGGAGTCGTGGAAACCAAGTGTCTACAGCAGGTGGCAGACTTGGCAGAGACACAAGCATATGGGTTCCACCACAGAAATAGATGTCACCATCTGGCACCCCAGCCCCTCAAATGACCTCTTCACCTCCCCATCTTACCTCTTCTCCAGGTTGAACACAGATGGCATTTAAGATATATTCATTTAACATTCTTTTTTGGTAATGACTCAGTCCTGGTTTTAAACGGAGATAAGAAGGTGACATACATTGTCAGGGCTATCTGCCAAGGTAAAAAGTCAAAGAAGGAAGTCATTTTTTGAGGATAAACTTTCATGGATCTGACTGCTGGCATCCGGTCTGGGCTGAAAGGAAAAAAAATAACAATCCCCAGCGAAGCTAAGCAGCAGGTTAGCTCTTGGAGAGCAAACAAGATGGATTCCTCGAGGAGAGATGGCTGTGCAGACAGGTTTCCTGAAATCTTTTGTTGTTGTTTTGTTTTTCAGTTGAACTCACCGAACCTTGTGCTTGCTAGGCAGGCTCTCTACCACTTGAACTACGCCCCTAGTCCTTGGAGTCCTTCTTCTCAGCCCCTATATGACTTTTAATTCAGACTTACGGAAATAGAGTATCAAGTGGGTAGGTAATTAAATCTGTGCAAGATGTGAACGTAAACTCAAGACTGACTGTCACAGTTTGGGATAAGGTCAAGAATATCTTGTTGGAATTAAATCTTGAGTCTCAATGATTGTGAACATTTAGACTCTAAGAGGTATGAACTTGGAGAAAACAGAGCAAATGGGCTAAAGACATTCTCTTTTCATTTTTATTTTATTTATTACTTTTGGTGAGAATGTGTGTCTGCAGGTGCTAGGATTTCCCTCAGGGCCCGTCCCTTAGCTTTTTCATTTAAGGCTGGTACTCTGCCACTTGAGCCATAGCTCCACTTCCATCAATATTTTTCTTCATTTTATTTTATTTCGTGCCAGTACTAGGGCTTGAACTCAGGAACTCACATTCTTCATTTGGCTTCTTTTAACTTAAGGCTGGTACTCTACCACTTGAGCCACATCTCTATTTCTGACATTTTGCTGGATAATTGGAGATAAGAATCTGTCAGATTTGTCTGCCTGGGATACCTTTGAGCCATTATCCTCAGATCTCAGCATCCTGAGTAGCCAAGATTACAGGCATGAGCCAGAGGCACCTGCCTCTTTCACTTTTTCTTGTTGCTTAGTTCTGCTTGTTCAGTGGTATGCCCCACACTGATCCATCACATCTGTCATCCCTGATACAAGGCCTGGATTCCAATTGCAGGGTTGTCTTTCATCAAATTCATAATGAACCTGTGCCTGTTTGAGCTGAAACAGCTCACCCCTGAAATATCTAATAATATAAAATCTGGATTCCTCCCTACCCCACCCCAGACTGAGTGTGTCTTTGCTGCAAGAATTGGTTGCTGTGTCTCTAGCCTCGCAAAGGTTTCTGGTTCACCCAGGGATGACCTGTGTATATGAGTTATAGAACTCAGATCCGCTGAACCTTTCCAGCCAGAATGGTGCTGGCCGCTCCTGTCCCATTGTCCCTTTCCAACTATGCTGGACTTGCTGATGCCCGCTGTGCCACAGGGACACATTGGGACTGAATGAAACTCAGACTCCTCCAGCTTCTCTCTGAAAGCAGTGGGCTGGGCTGGCCTCTTAGTGTCATTCCATTTAAAGACCAGAATCCTCATCCTGCTGATGGTCGGTGTCCTATCTTTCTCTCGTCTCCTCCAGATCCACGAGAAAGAGGAGGAAGAGTTCAATGAAAAGAGTGAAAATGATTCTGGCATCAACGAAGAACCCCTGCTCACAGCAGATCAGGTAAAGAGTATCTTTTTGAGTGCTTGAAAATTAAAGTTATCTTTAAGTAGTTGTACAAAAGCATTGCTGTTGGGGCTGGGAAGGTGGCTCAGTGGTAGAGCGCTTGCCTTGCATGCTTGAGGCCCTGGGTTCGATTCCTCAGCACCACATAAGCAAAAAGAAAAAAGCCGGAAGTGGCGCAGTGGCTCAAGTGGTAGAATGCTAGCCTTGAGCTGAAGAGCTGAGGGACAGCGTCCAGGCCCAGAGTTCAGGCCCCACGACCCGACTCCTCACCGCCCCCCAAAAAAGAATTGCCATTTAACAAAGCAGTTTATGAATACAGTATATCTTGACCAATGTCACCCCTTTCAACATTCTCACCCATCCCTTCCCTACCCCTCCCTTCCCTCATTCTTAATTTAGGATATACATTAGATTCTTCCCCTCTCCATTCGTCCACCCCTTTCCCCTTAACCCCACCCCTTTCAAGTACCCACTTCCTGGTGTTTTATTCTAAGGCAAAGTTGAGTTCTCCTTTGAATGTAGCACATTTCAGTGAGTGCATTGGGACACTTGCATACCACCCAATGTATTTACTTATAAGTTTATAAGCTAAATCTAGCGGGTTCTTGAGAATTTTTGTTCTTTCAATAAAGAAAAAAGTATAAGAGAACATGCTGGCTACATTGTCAAGGACAGAAGAAAGATGTGTGTGCTCTTGTGGTGGCTATATTGATGCCTCAAAATAGCTTTCTTTTGGAGGCAGTGTGGTATGTGGGGTTTGAACTTAGGGCCGTAAACTTTTGCTTGGCCTTTTCATGGCCAGCACTCTACCATTTGAGCCACACCTCTGCTTCTGGCCTTTTGCTGGTTAATTGGAGATAAGAGTCTTAAAGATTTGTCTGTCTAAGCTGGGTTCAAACCTGATCCTCAGATTTCAACCTCTTGAGTAGGTAAGCCACCAGTGTCAGAAGCAATGTATCTTTTGATAAAAGGTTTAACTTTTCTTTATGCTACTGTTCCCACCTGCAGAAAATGTGAAGATACTTCCTGATGGTTGGGTTGGTTTGAGGTTAGACTTTGATGACTGAGACAGGCCTAGTGTTTACTCCTGCTAATTCTCTCACAACTCCTGGTACATGGAGTCAGAACACTTAAAGGAACATCCCAAATACCCTTTCTTCCAAAAATAGAAGCGATGGATTAGCCTTCTATGTGTGTGTGATGCACGTTTTTTTACATTTTCATGCAACAGTGAAAAATTTTAGCCTTCCAAAGGCTGTCTCAGAGTTACTTTTCTCCTTGAGAATATACAGTGTTTCACAGTTAAGATTAAATTAATTTAAATATTAGTTTAAGTCATTTTTTACTTAGTACAGATGTTGAATCCCTGGATTCCTGACTCAACTCTCTGTATATGTGTGTGTGTGTGTGTGTGTGTGTGTGTGTGTGTGTGTGTGTGTGTGTGTGTGTGTGTGTGTGTGTGTGTAATGAGACTTGAATTCAGGTCTTCGAGTTCTCATTTAGCTTTCTTTTTGTTCAAGTTGGAGCTCTACCACTTGAGTCACAGCTCCACTTCTGGCTTTTTTGCTTGTTAATTGGAGGTAAGAGTCTAATCGACTTTTCTTCCGAGGATGAAAGATTTGAACTGTGATCCTTAGATCTTAGTCTCCTGAGTAGCTGGGATTGCAGGCCTAAGCTATCAGAACCCAGTACACACTCATTATTTACACAGAGGCTTGGTTTTCTATATTTTCTATGTGTGTAAGCAAGTAATATGTACAATAGTTTGTCCTTAACCTTTTTGGCAGTTGCCTAACTTTGCCATCCATGTGTAGGAGCTGTGCCCACTCCATCATTGAGATAAGAGCTGAGGTGTTTTCCCCCCCTTCTTTCCAGATCCCAGCTGCCGCCTCCTCCTCCTCCTCCTCCTCCTCCTCCTCCTCCTCCTCCTCCTCCTCCTCCTCCTCCTCCTCCTCCTCCTCCTCCTCCTCCTCCTCCTCCTCCTCCTCCTCCTCCTCCTCCTCCTCCTCCTCCTCCTCCTCCTCCTCCTCCTCCTCCTCCTCTTCTTCTTCTTCTTCTTCTTCTTCTTCTTCTTCTTCTTCTTCTTCTTCTTCTTCTTCTTCTTCTTCTCCTTCTATCTTACAGTCTTTATTTTTACTTGTGGCTCAGCAGTACTCATCTCTGTCCAGGTGAATTCTGAAGAAACAGTCTTCTGCCCCATTTTGACTTGTTCTGAGAATACTTTTTTGTTTTTGTTTTTGTTTTCCAGTCACATGTATTGTGACAGCTAATGGAGTAGGTTTGGGGATGTTGTCAAGCAGATAAAATATTTTCCCACTTAGAATAAAATACTCAGCAAATTGAAGTAAATGCTCCCTTCCAATCAGCCCTGCCTTCATTTCCTGAAAGAGTAGTTTATTTCCAATAAAACATTCATCTAAATGGAGCTCTTGGAAGAGATTTCCCATGAAGAGTGCTTTACATTAAAGAAAGTGTGCATGTGTAAGCCTTTGCTCAGGTCTATTTTTATTATTATTCAATATCTATCAAGAAATGGGTTGGGTGGGGTCAAGGGGAGGAGAGGAGATGAATGAAGAGAAGGGAGGAGAATGCAGTCAAGAATTTTGTATATCCTACAAAATGGAGAAAAGTAAGGGAAGGGGCAGGTTGGGAAGGATGAGTGAGGAGGTTGAAAGGGGTGACATTAATCAAGATGCATTGTAGGGGCTGAAGGCATGGCTCAGTTGGTAAAGCGCTAGCCAAGGAGCAAGAGCATCAAGTACCTAGTCCAAGTCCTGGTCACAGATCTAAAAAAACAAGAAAGAAAAGATGCATTATGTTCATAAACTGCTTTGTTGAATGGCAACTTTTATGTAACAATGTGTAGACAATAAAATTTTTTTTTAAAGAAATGGGCCAGGTATCAATGGCTCATTCAGGAGGCTGAGATTTGAGGATTGCAATTTGAAGCCAATCTAGGCAGAAAAGTCCATGAGACTCTTATGAACTACTCAGAAAAAGTTGGAAGTGGCGATGTGGCTCACATGATAGAGCACTAGCTTTGAACCCAAAGAGGCTCAGGGACAGCATCCAGGACCTAAATTCAAGCCCCAGGACTGGCATAAAAAAGGAACTCCACAAAAACAATGAAAGAAATGGTATTCTTCCAGGAATTTCACAGACAGCAAAATGAGACCTGTCCTTACCTGATTAAGACACAAGCCAGCATGCTCCTTCTAGCAAGGAACAGCTTGCATTTTCTTGTGCACTTTCCTCAGGTGATTGAGGAGATTGAGGAAATGATGCAGAATTCCCCAGATCCTGAGGAGGAAGAGGAAGTTCTGGAAGAGGATGATGGAGGAGAAACCTCATCCCAGGCAGACTCGGTGCTGCTGCAGGAGATGCAGGCCCTAACACAGACCTTCAACAACAACTGGTCCTACGAAGGTGAGGCTCCTTGAGTGGCAGAGCTCGCCAAAGATGATGTACTTATTCTCTTCCAGGCAACACAAGGTTCACTGTCCTGGAGCAGACGTTCATAGAGCAGACCAATGGGCAACACCTGCCCTACTTGGTATCTGCAGAGAAATTATCTCTTTTATTTTGTGATGGTCCTGGGGCTTGAATTCAGGGTCTGGGCACTGAGCTTTTTTGCTCAAGGCTATCACTCTACCACTTGAACCACAGCTCCACTTCCTGTTTTCTGATGGATAGGTGGAGATTGAGTCTCGGACTTTCCTGCCCAGGCTGGCTGGCTTCAAACAATCCTTAGATCTCAGCCTTCTGAGTAACTAGGATTCCAGGCATGAGCCATGGGCACCCAGCAAGAACTTAACATTTTTGGCAAACAGACAAAAACACAAGACAACACATACACACACACACACACACACACACACACACACACACACACACACACACACACGAAAATTTAAAGGACAGAATAAACTAAACTAAAGAAAAAAAGACTAAAACAGAATAAATGGAAAAATCTGAGGGCTACTATCTAAAAGAAATGAGGGATACTACCACAAAATCAATGGAAAAAAATATGAGGCTGGGAATGTGGCTCAGTGGTAGAGTGCTTGTCTAGCCTATATTAAGCCCTGAGTTTAATTCCTCAGCACCACATAAGCAGAAAAAGCTGGAAGTGGTGTTGTGGTTCAAGTGGTAGAGCACTAGCCTTGAGCTGAAGAGCTGAGGGACAGCGCCCAGGCCGAGTTCAACAGACCAAAAAAAAAAAAAAAAATCAATGAAAAAATAGATGGTAATAATGGTAGCTAATCATTCTAGAATGACCTGTCTTTATCAGATCCTATTTCAATCCTGTTTTATGTATAATCTCCCAACAACCACACACCAGCCCCACTGGGATGGCGTTAACTGTCTTCCAGAGGCTAAGGGACTGGTCCAAAGCCATTGTTGGAGAAATTGAATAGAAAACAAAATCTTACCACCTCCCAGAAAAGCCTTACCACCAAGCTATGAAAGAAAGCAGCTGGGCTGGGAAGGTGGCCCTGTGGTAGAGTGCTTGCCTTGCATGCATGAGGCCCTGGGTTCAATTCCTCAGCTCCATGTAAGCAGAGAAAGTCAAAAGTGGCGCTGTGGCTCAAGTGGTAGAGTACTATCCTAGAGCTGAAGAGCTGAAGGACGGTGCCCAGGCCCAGAGTTCAGGCCCCACGACTGACAAAGAAATCTCACTGTCCCATAGCTAAGTGAATTAGAACCCATTATGCTGAAGTAGATTTGGCAATTTGGAGTCAGGTGGCTGACTTAGGCCCCTCTGCTTCTAGAACAGTGGGAATTTAGGCCTCATCTTCTTGGATGATTGTATTTCAAAGCAGCAACTCCCAGGCCCCTAAGGAAACTTTCCTGAACCATGGAGACAGACCCTAGGAGGCATTTGAAAAGGACAAAGAAATTTTGAAAGAAAAAGGAGGTGGAAGACAGGCAAAGTCTCTCCTTCCTTCCCCTCCCCTCCCCTCCCTTCCTCCCCTCCTTTCCCCTCTCCCATCTCATCCTCCCCTCCTCTGCTTTACTTTTCTCTCCCTCCCTCCCTCCCTCCCTCCCTCCCCTCTCCCTTCCTCCCTCCCTCCCTCCCTCCCTCCCTTCCTTCCTTCCTCCCTTCCTTCCTTCCTTCCTGGAGATCCAATCCAGGGCCTCACACATGTTAAATATACGTTCTGCCCCTGATCTGTTGCCACCCCCCACTCCCAGTCCCCACCCCAGCCTTCTTCTCTTATTTTCAGTGGGGAGAGGCTAAATTCTCATTGTAAATCTGCATTTGCCCTTGAACCTCATAAACTCATCCTAAACCAGAACCCTCTCCTGACAGAGATGTTCACTCCAGCATCCAGTCTCTTAATCTCTGAAGCACAGTAAGTCAGCCTGCAAAGGAAGGGCTGGCTGGCGTGTGAAATGAAAAAAAAAAAAAAGAATCACAGCACAGGCAAAGGGAAAGTAGCAGGTCCATCTTCTATGCCTGTGCTGCAGGAGGGTCCTCTTCCTGGGAGGGACCCCAAGTCGGGGATGGAGAGAAGGTGGGTGGGTCAGAGTAAACAGGTCCCAGGGTAGGTAAGAAGTGGCAAGACTCCCGCCTGTCATCCTGAGAACAGCGTCTAAAGGGCAGTGGCGGGAGATGGCTGCCTGGCTGCGTTCACTGCCACCCCATCAGGCCATTCTTGGCCACACAAAGGCCCCAAACAGAGAAGTGTTTAGTGGAGGACTTGCTGGGAAGCAGAGTGAAATGGCAAATAAACAGAAGGAGGAGGAGAGTGCCAAGGAGCAAGACAAAAGGGAAGGCTGAACTGAGTCAGCCAACACCCAGGCAACGCAGGAATGGAGTGGGGTGGGGGTGTAGGGGGAGGGTAACAGATTCTAAGGTTAAAAAGAAAAAGACATTATTAATCAAAGGCAAACTTTCAAAGATGGTCTCTAAATCTCTTTTATTTACTTCACTAATATTTTGACTGGCTCATACTAATGGGCCATAGTTATACAGTCTGGCGAGGCATTTTAATATTTAACTGTGGAATGATCAGTTTAGGGTCAGTGGTGCTGCTCTCGCCTCAGACACAACATTTCTTTATGTTGGGGACTTTATTCCCCCCTCCCCCCAGAGGATTATAGACATGAATCATCACACCCAGCTTGTTAGTTGAGATGGGGGGCGGGTCTAACCAACTTTTTGTCCAGGCTGGCCTTGAAGTATGAGCCTCCTGATCTCTGACTCTCGAATAGCTGGAACCATAGGTATAAGCCACCATGCCCACCTGTCAGCTATATCTTATTTAGTTCTTGGGAGAGGGTTTGAACACAGGCTGTTTACCCAATTAAAAAAATATTGGGGTTTATATTTTCTCTGCCACTTGAGCCATGCCTCCAGCCCTTTTTGCCCTGGTTATGTTTTAGATAAGGTCTTGATTTTTGCAAGGACTGGCCTGGACTCCGATCCCCCTATTTATGCTTCCCACTGTAGCTGGGATGAGAGGTGTGTGCTACCACATCCAGCTTTTCCAGATAAGATGGACTCTTGTGATTTTTTTTTTTGTTGTTGTTGTTGGTCCTGGTTGGCCTAGAACCATAATCCTTCCAAACTTAGCCTCCCATGTAGCTGGGATGACAAGTGTGAGCCACCAAACCCTGCTTTTTTACCCATATTTTTCTCTACAGAGTCCACATGCCTTGTTGCGGGGGCTGTTTCTTTTTCCTCTTCATGTGATCTCCTCTCCTGTATTTAATATGGGGCCTCTTCCTGTCCTATCCCTAAATTGTGGTCCTCTGGGGACCTCTAAGGAGTTGGAAGGGGTCCCTGTGAAGGCAACCTATCTCCCAAGGGCTCAGGCCTCTCTTTCCCTGCAGGGCTGAGGCACATGTCTGGGTCTGAGCTGGCTGAGCTGCTGGACCAGGTGGAGGGCGCCATCCGAGACTTCTCAGAGGAGCTGGTGCAGCAGCTAGCCCGCCGGGATGAGCTGGAGTTTGAGAAGGAAGTGAAGAACTCCTTCATCACGGTGCTCATCGAGGTTCAGAACAAGCAGAAGGAGCAGCGTGAACTGATGAAAAAGAGGCGGAAAGAGAAAGGGCTGAGCCTGCAGAGCGGCCGAATAGAGAAGGGGAATCAGATGCCTCTCAAGGTATGCATAGAAGCAACCCAGTTGGAAGACTGGGCTTAGGCAGCCTCCAGCTCCATTGCAGATCCCAACACCCACTCTTTTTTTTTTTTATTGTAAAGATACTATACAGAGGGTTACAGTTACATGAGTGAGGTAATGAGTACACTTCCTCTTGAACATTGTTACCCCCTCCATTGTTTTCCCCCTACCATCCCCTCCCTCCTTCCCTTCCCCGAGGTTCTTTTTTTTTTTTTTTGATTGTGGTTAAGTGATTACATAATTTCCGGAATTTCACAGTATTTTGGAATAATGATGCTCATTTAAAGTCACAAGTTCATTCTAACTTTCCTGGAGCAAATTGTCTATCACAGTCTGTAATATATAACGGTGTTCACATGTTATATACCCTATATGTGATCAGCAGCATGGGGATATTTAGTAGTGGTTCAACCAGATGAGCGGGAGTTCTTTGTTTCTTAAGTCCTGTTAGTTTTGTCATATCACCTAACATTTTGGATTTAGCATCCACTTATCAGGGAGACCATGTACCGTTTGTCTCTTCGTTCTTGGCTTACCTCGCTCAACATGATTCCTTCTAGCTCCATCCATTTCCCTGCAAATGCCATTATTTTGTCATTTCTAATGCCAACACCCACTCTTACTGAGCAACAAAACTGTGAGCAGAGGCTGTGAGGGGCTGCGGGTCAGAACAAGGGGGAAGATAAGCATGTGTCTCCTGGATTGCTAGGTTGGGGGAAGTGAGGGAAGGCATCCAGAGTCTTCGGAGTTCTGCCACTGGCATGGGTTGTGGTCCTCTTGCTTACCTTAGGATGTACTTAAGGTGTTTGTAGAGTGTTTCTGGGGCTGAAAATAGCCAGACCATATTGGTCTGTTGACAGCATTCTCCAAACCAGTGGTTCGTAATGGGGGATATCTCAGTAGAATCAACTAAGGAGCTGTGCCTGTCCCTGACCAGTTAAATGAAGACTATGACATGTGCATTTTAAAAACAAATAAGCAAACAAACTCCCCAGAAAAGAACAGTTGCTTTTATCTTATTTATTTATTTTTTTTGTGCCAAGCCTAGGGATTGAACTCAGGGCCTGGGTGCTGTCCTGGAGTTCTTTTTTGCTCCAGGCTATCACTTCCCACTCTTTAGTGGTTAATTGGGGATAACAGTCTCACAGACTTTCCTGGTCCCACCTGGCTTTGAACCTTGATTCTCATATCTCAGGCTCCTGAGTAGCTAAGGTTATAGGCACAAGCCACCAGTGCCTAATGAGGACAGTTGCTTTAAACCTCTCTTCTTTGTTGGCTAAATTGCATGTTAGCCAAGGAAGGCAAGGTAGGCCAAGGTCTTACATTGACTCTGGTTACCATGGAGCATTTATCTGATGTGACCTGGTGGCTATGGGTCTGGGTACTTAGTAAGGGCACAGAAGTCCCTGGGGTGTTGGCTTTGGGACAGGGAGCCTTTGCCCTCCTTCAGTGTCTCTCTCCTGCAGCGCTTCAGCATGGAGGGCATCTCCAACATCCTGCAAAGTGGCATCCGCCAGACTTTTGGCTCCTCAGGAACCGACAAACAGGTAGGTCTGAACAGTTGCGTTTTTCCTCTCTCCCTCCCTCCTCTATGATCTCACAACTCAGTCTTCCCAACCATGTGCGTGTGTGGGGTGCCAACAGAAACATTGTAGCATCTGGGCAAAAAGGGCTCTGACATGTCCTCCCACTGTTAAAGAAGAAAGTGCTTTCCCAAAGTGATTTTTTTTTGAGATCCTGTATTCTAGGATATGAACAAAACTTCAAACCCAACACTAATATCTATTAATTAAGTTGCATTGAAAGGAACCTATAGCTGGGCACTGGTGGCTCACACCTGTAATCCTAGCTACACAGGAGCCTGAGATCTGAGGACGGTGGTTCAAAGCTAGCCTGGGCAGGAAAGTCTATGAGACATAACCAGCACAAAACCAGAAGTGATGTTGTGGCTCAAAATGGTAGAGTACTAGCCTCGAGCAAAGAGCTCAGGGACAGCGCCCAGGCCCCCTACCAACAGAGAATAAAAAGGACGGGAGGCGGGGGAGGGGGGGGGGTACCTATTTCATGGCTGAGCCTATCTGAAAGTTTAATTAACTCCATGGCATTTCACTTCTGGCTGGGCCAATGCCCTCCATACTGCATCTTTAGCTGCCTGGCTCAGATTGTACCCCACAGCATGGCATCTCCTTGTTGGCTCCATTTTGTTAATAACTTGCCTACTGTATCAGTCAGCTTTGCATTGTTAAAGTAAGTTTCCTGAGGCCATTAACTTCATAAAAGTAAAGTTTTATTTAGTTTATAGTTTTCGAGGTTTAAGTGCAAGATTAGATACCCTTATTGGTTTGACCTCTGCTAGAGGTGTCACATCATGGTAGAAGTATACATAGGAGCAAACAGTCCCATCTCAAACCTGGAAAGAGAAAGAGAGAACTCTTTTCACTTCTTTTGAGGACACCCCCCCCCCCCCAATGACCTAAACCTTCCATTAGGCCTTGCCTCTTGAAAGTCCACAGTACAAATGCAACTATGGTATTCAATATGTACTATATAAAAAATGAACTATGCTACTTGTGGGCAAGGCCGGAGGTTGGGGGAGAATGGAGGAAAGCAAAGGAAGGGATAACATTGTCCAAGAAGAATTATACTCATTTCCTGCCTTTATGGAATTGTAACCCCTCTGTACAACACCTTAATAATAACAATACAATGATACGCATTTACAAAAATGTCTGCAGTATGTCCCAATAGCACAACCTTGGAGACCAAGCCTTTACAAATGTATCTCTGGGAGATGTTCAAATTACCCACCAACAGTAGCTTTGCAAAGTGACTTCATTTCTGGATGTTAGGAAAGTGTTCAAATGAATGCTATGCTATATTGCTAGGTCTTTAGGTACAAAGGCAAAAAGCCCTGGTCCCTACCCTTTGGGGTACAAGTCCAATAGACTTGGTGGTGTCAGCTGACAAGTTTAAACCTGTGGAATAAATACTCATGAAATGGCCGTGACTTTTAAATGCTTGTGCTGAATCCTACGTGTTAGAATTCTACACTGGCACCATGGGGAGACTTTTGGACTGTGTAATTAGCTTGCTCCCTTCACAGCAGTGAGATAAGGCTTAGCGTGGTGAGGCAGGTTCCCAAGGCCTCACTGCCAGCGGCAGGGCCAGGACCACAAGGCAAAGCTTCTCAACCTTGCACTCACCACTTTAGGCACCCTTAGGGTCTGTCAAGGTCTCTGGTGGAAGGTCCCCCTGCCCATCCTCAATGTTGGCTTTGTTGCAGGAGCACCTGACATCCAGCAGAGGGAGTAAATCCAACATCCAAGACCTTGGGTGGGGTTGATACATCATTTTTGACAAAAGAGAAGGAATTCTTTCTCAATTTTAAACACAACAACAACAACAAAACCCTCGGGGAATATTGTCTGCTACTCTAGGCCTGAAGGGGGACAAGGCCCCCCTGGTTTCCAAGATAACTTAGAAGTTTCTAGTGCAGGAAGAATGTATCTGCTGAGACGGAGCAAAGTTTTTCCTGGTTAATATTGGGAAAGTCTTATTTTCAAGAGACAGCCCCCAGGAGTTGGAGGATGAAATAGAGGTCTAAAATAGCAGTATGCCACTGACCTTGAGTGTTGTCAGCAAGGTCGAGTTTGAGAGTGTTTTGTTTCTTTGTGTCTTAGAGTACTGTGCCCATGCAACTTGTCCACTGTCCTTAACTCATTGAGGGATCATGTCTCAGGGGCCAAATGCTTGTTTGTCTTGCAGTATCTGAACACAGTCATCCCTTATGAGAAGAAATCATCTCCTCCCTCCGTGGAAGACCTGCAGATGCTGACAAACAGTGAGTTCCTCCTTCCAAACCTTAGAGGCATCTTGTTTCCCTCCTCCTGACTGCATGCAGCACTCCAGTATCTCAGGCTGGAGATTTCCTAGGTCAAAATATGCCCTGTATTGTGAGGGCACATCCTCCTAGCAAGGGTACAAGTAAAACTCTCCAGTGGTACACACCCAGAGCTCCTCTCCTCTCCCCCTCCTCCCCTCCCCTCCCCTCCCTTCCTTTCCTCTCCTCTCCCTTCCCCTTCCTCTTATTTTCTCCTCCTCTCCTCTCCTCCCTTCCCCTGTCCTCCCCTCTCCCCTCCTCTCCCCTCCCCTCCTTTCTGCTCCTCTCCCCTCCCCTTTCTGCTCCTCTCCCCTTCCTCTCTTTTTCTCCTCTCCTTTTCTCTCTTCTCTTCCTTCCCTCCCTCCCTCCCTCCCTCCCTCCTTCCCTCCCTTCCTTCCTCTTCTTTCCTTCCTTCCTTCCTTCCTTCCTTCCTTCCTTCCTTCCTTCTTTCCTTCCTCTTCTTTCCTTCCTTCCTTCCTTCCTTCCTTCCTCTTCTTTTCTTCCTTCCTTCCCTTTCTGCCAGTACTGGGGCTTGAACTCAGGGCCAGAACACTTTCCCTTAACTTTTTGCTCAACTTTGGCATTCTACCATTTGAGCCACAGCTCCACTTTTGACTTTTTGCTGGCTCATGGTAGGTAAGAGTTTCATGGATTTTTCTGCCTGAACTGGTTTCTAACTTCAGTTCTCAGATCTCAGCCTCCTGAATAGCTAGGATTACAAGCGTGAGCTGCTGTCCAGCTTTCTTTTTTTCCTCTGGTTCTTCCAGTAAGCAAGAGACCTGCTTGGGCGGCGGGAGGGGAGCTGGGGGGAGGGTGTGAAGTGGGGGAGGGAGATTTTTGTGTTCCTGGTTGTTCTCCAGGTGTCCTCTTCTCTGTCTCTCTGGTTCCCTCCTGCACTTGCCCGAGCCATACATGGGCACCTTAGCAAGGAGCTGGTCTCAGGCCTCATTATACTTGTGTGTGTGTGTGTGTGTGTGCGCGCGTGCATGTGCGAGCCTGTTCTGGGTTTGAACTCAGGGCCTGGGTGCTGTCCCTCAGCTTTTTTTTGCTGAAGACTAGCACTCTATCATTTAAACCACAGCTCTACGTCTGGTTTTTTGGTGGTTAATTGGAGATAAGAGTCTCACAGTCTTTCTGCCCAGGCTGACTTTTACTTGTGATCCTGTCCTCAGATCTTAGCCTCCCAAGTAGCTAGGATTACAGGCCTGAGGCACCAGTGCCCAGCTGTGATTGCACGTTTAAGAAGCAAGGTTTCTTGGGCAGAGTAAGGAGTAAGGCTGATTAGGAAGAATAAAGTCCATTTTTCCTTCCAGGAATTGATTGCTTCCTCTCCTCTGCTTTGGCTCTATTGTCTTATAGTATAATAACATTCTGAGCTATGGGGGGAGAAACAGTTATAATGAGTTTTGTAGGCAAAATCTCTTTGTCTATATTTATATATATATACATATCTATGCATGTCTACGTATATGTATATCTATGTATGTGTATATATGTGTGTGTATACACACACGTGTGCACACGCGTGCACACACACACACACACACAAACACACATCAGACTATATCTCCCAAGGGACCAGGGCACTTAGTGTCAGCTTGGCTCTCTTAGGAAGAGAAAAATCCTAGGAGACAATGTGATGACAGGCTCAAAGGTGTGAAAGAAGTCACATTTCCCTGGCAACTATGCATGCAGAATGATGGCTGCCTTGGAGTGAATGGGCTAGTGTGTGTGTGTGGGGGGGGTGGGTACGGACACCCCAGAGGAAGGGAGAGGAAGACATGCTTCCTGGGCCCTGGGCTAAAAGTGACCAATATCTACATTAAAAAAAATCAATTTGGAGAATGAGAGCAGGAGACTGTGGCAAATGGAAATTCTCTTTGTATCCACAGATACTGTGTCCTTGAGAATCTGGAATTTTAAATTCAAAACATTGACTTGCTTTTAACTCATTTTTAAACTCCTGCATTTGCATAAATATGCACTAAGATTTTTTTTCTTAAAGGGAACAGACAGAAATGCATTTGTAGCACTAGGGATGCAGCTCAGTGATGGAGTATTTGCCTCACAGGAGATAGGCCTTGAGTTCAAGTCCTAACATTGTTTAAATATATATATGTGTGTATATATGTATATATATATTATATATATATGTATATATATATATATGTATGTATCTTGTAGAGTTGTGTTTTCATAGTGCTAAACATCTGGAAAATAAACGAGAAATAACAAAGCCTGATAGATGTGAAGTCTTTTCCCCCCCCAGTCTTGTGGTTTGAACTCAGGGCCTGGGTACTGTCCCTGAGCTTCTTTTGTTCAGGGCTAGTACTCTACCACTTGAGCTACAGCACCCCTTCTGACTTTTTCTGTTTATGTGGTACTGAGGAATTGAGCCCAGAGCTTCATGCATGCTAGGAAAGCACTCTACCACTAAGCCACATTCCCAGCCCCAGATGTGAAGTCTTAAAGCAGAGAATAGCTAGTTGTTTATTGCAGCTGCCCATCCAAGAATTGTGTGACATTTTCTTTTCATTGTGGTTAAGAAACCACAGTAAGTAGGTTTGTTTACATTTTTGAAGTTCTTTTAGAAATTCCACCTAATATATCCATCATTAGAATACTTTTGATATGTGGAAAGTGAACATAATAACTCGATAATAATTATGTTAGTCTCATACACTGAGAAAACCAATGTGAAGAAGAGATGGTTTATTTTGGCCCATAGTTTTAGAAGTTTCAGTCCATGGTTTCTTGACTTGTTTCTGGGCCTGCAGTGAGGTGAGAGCATCATCGCCATGAAGCAGCAGAGCTGCTCACTTCATGGTGGTCAGGAAGCAGAGAGAAAGGGGGTGGAGAGGGAGATAGCTAGAGATTGTCTATCTATCTATCTATCTATCTATCTATCTATCTATCTATCTATCTATCTATCTATCCATCCATCCATCCATCCATCCATCCATCCATCCATCCATCCATCCATCCATCCATCCATCCATCCATCTATCCATCCATCCATCTATCTATCTGGAGCATGCCTTCAATAACTCTACCCTCGACTAGTTCTTACCTCCTAAATTTCCATCACCTCTCAAAAGCTCATCACATTATGAACTCATCAATGGGCTGGTCCATTTGGTGAGGTCAGAGCTGTCATGAGCCAATCACTTCCTCAAACAAAGCCTTGCCTCTCAACATTTCTGCACTGGGGAACCAAGCCTTCAATACCTGGACCTTCAGGAAGACATTTCAGATCCAAACTAGTTTAGGGTGTTAGCCATAATATTTTCTATCTTTTCTAAATAGTCATAATTAAACCAGCTATAAAATTTCGTATTTAAGTCCCACCAGTTGACATTTTGTTAATGTTTTATGGCTGTCTCTTTTATTAAATGGATATATCACATTCCAATATTTTATACCTCTTAAAGATTTCCAACTTCTCTCTTCTCTGAATACCAATTCTCTTATAGATTATAAGAGCTTTTTTTTGGTAGATTCTTGCATGGACAATGTCTCCTCTGTCTCCCCTATGTCCTTCAATTAAGGGCAGCAGACAAAAATGCATTTGTAAAGCTCCTTTGCCTGGGTAACTCAGATAAAATTTGGAATTTGGAGGAAAACCTAGAACCATATTGGCTGGATGTCATTATTGCTCTTTTACTGCAGTCTTCTGGGTGGCATTTAGTGTCTGAGGTTCCATTGCAAATCTCATGCATGTCTAGAAATACAGAAAAAAAAGAAACAAGGACTCTCAGCTCCCAGTTGAGTTGAACTGAACATTTTTCTAAAGATATAGAAGAAATAAAAAGAGCTTTCTTTTGAGCTTTCTTTTTCTGAACCTAGCCAATGAGTCAGGCCCATCAGTGAACTCTGTTCCTTGCCCTCTCCTGACTTGTGGCTTCAGGTTTCATTGCCCTGCCTTGAAATCGGGAAAGCTGATCAGTGGAGTTCAAGGACGTGGAAATGGACTAGGAAACCGACTGTTGTCATGGTTGTTTCCTGACTCTAGCTGATCCTTATTCTTTCCTCATTGAGAAGAGTCAGACAGCAGAGAAAGATGTCACAGAGAGAATACACCCTGTGGTCTCACACTCAGAGATAAGCACATGCACTGTTCTCTACACTCTTCTGTTTATTCTGTGCATTTCTATTTACTTCATTATTCTACATGTATCTATTTCTTATAACATTTATATGTGTTTTGCAATGTTCTTCTTCATTGATAAGGACATTTTGTGCATACAATCTTTCTCCTTTTCTTTTCCCTTCCTTCTTTCCTTCTTTCCTTCCTTCCTGCCTTCCTGCCTTCCTGCCTTCCTGCCTTCCTGCCTTCCTGCCTTCCTGCCTTCCTGCCTTCCTGCCTTCCTGCCTTCCTGCCTTCCTGCCTTGCCTTCCCTTCCCTTCCCTTCCCTTCCCTTCCCTTCCCTTCCCTTCCCTTCCTTTCCTTCCCCCCTTCAGCTCAAAGCTAGCAGTCTGCCACTTGAGCCACAGCCCACTTCCAGTCTTCTGGTGGTTTATTGGAGATAAGAGTTCACAGCCTTTCTTGCCCGGGCTGGCTTTGAACCATGGTCCTCAGATCTCAGCCTCCTGAGTAGCTAGGATTATATGTGTGAGCTACCTGAGCTCCGCTATAAAAAGCCTCTTGAAAAAGCCTTTAAGAGTCAAAAGCTTCCCTGTTGTTTGATTCATGTGTAAATGGCATGTCTGTGAACTCCAGAGAGAGTCCCTAAACCTTCATAAACTCCAGCTGTCTAATGGACACAAAACAGAAAAAAGGTATTTAACTTGTTATTTGCTACCATCAAATTGGAAATGAAGATGATTGTTTATGTGAAAAGAATGTCTTTAAAACACTATTATAGGCGATTCAGTAGTGTGACAATTTTTTTTATTAGTGTATTAGTTGTACAAAAGCATGGTTAACTGTGAAATTCCCATACACATCTACATTTTATTTTATTTTATTTTATTTATTTTTTGGGGGGGGGTCCAGTCGTGGGGCCTGAACTCTGGGCCTGGGCGTTGTCCCTCAGCTCTTCAGCTCAAGGCTAGCGCTCTACCACTTGAGCCACAGCGCCACTTCCGGCTTTTTTCTTTTTGCTTATGTGGTGCTGAGGAATCGAACCCAGGGCCTCTGGCATACAAGGCAAGCGCTCTACCACTGAGCCACCTTCTCAGCCCTGCATCTACATTTTATTATAGTCTCACCTTCTTTATCATTCTCCCTTAACACCCTCTATACCTGTCAGTTTTTATTAATATTTAGATCAACAATATTGAAAAGCTGATTTGTTTGGTTTGGTTTGGTTTGGTTGGTTGTGGGGCTTGAACTCTGTTGGGCACTGTCCCTGAGCTCTTCAGATCAAGGCTAGCGCTCTACCACTTGAGCCACAGCGCCACTTCTGGTTTTCTGTGGTTGATTGAAGATAAAAGTCTCATAGACTTTTCTGCCTGGACTGGCTTTGAACCATGATCCTCAGATCTTAGGCTCTTGAGTAGCTAGGATTACAGGCATGAGCCACTGGTGCCTAGCAGCTGATTCTTTTTTTGAACAATTGCTTTATTCTTACAATTATTAAAGATATAGAACAATTGCTTTATTCTTACAATTATTAAAGATATAGACTTAGTGGATGGTATGGAAATTATGGAAGTCATCAGTCAGGCTGCTTTCCCAGAGACAATCCTGGCTGTTCTTGAAACAGATTCTAGAGGTCAAATGAGTAATTTCCCAGTTGGGTGGGGGTGGGAGTGGTGGAGGGCATGTTTGGCTCTGGAAGCAACTTTGTATCCTTGATGATGTCTCTGCTTCTCTCTCTCTCTCTCTCTCTCTCTCTCTCTCTCTCTCTCTCCCTACCCCCCTCCCAGTTCTTTTCGCCATGAAGGAGGATAATGAGAAGGTGCCTACTTTGCTAACGGACTACATTTTAAAAGGTAAGAGCCGCAGTCACCTCCTGAACAGAAGTGGTGAGCTACGGAGGCTGCTCTGAAGGCCTAGCAGGCATCTATGCAGACAGACCCAGCAGGGGCCTAGGTGAATACTGAGGAGCCTTCATGGTAGTGGGTGCTGCTAGAACCCCTGCAAAAATGGTTCCCTCACTTATTCCTTGAAATATGTTTGTTGGGGAAATTAGAAGATTTGTCCTGTAGAATTTCCTCATTTTGGATTTTTTTTTCTAAATTCATCTCCATGTTATACTTTAATATGTTCATCTATTTCCTCTAGGCCCTAGAATGAGAGGCCTGAGCAGCTTCAGCCTTAGACCTTTTGTTTTGTTTTATTATTTTTACAGAGCTGGGGATTAATTAAACCCAGAGCATCAAGCATGCTAGGCAAATGTTCTACCACTGAGCTAGTCCTAGCCTTACATCTCCTGATAATCACTGTTATGTGTGGTTCTAGACATCCATCCCGAGACACATACTCTCTGCTTCTCTTTCTTTTCAGATGTCAGTAGCCACAGAAGATCATTCATGGTCTAAATCCATTGTTGGATTTGTTTTTGCTCTCGGTGTACACACAACGTTGTATAGTTTCAGATTGGTGGAACATAAATAAAACCCTGAGCTTCTTTCTGTAAGAGCCAGAAAGATTAATCTTATAGTCTAGTAGTTAAATTTTGGGAGGAATGTGTGACCCAAAGGTTTCTAAAATGAATGGTAAATTTTTTCTGAGGAGGCTTATAGAATGGTATGTATAACTTTGATGGTCTGAGGGCTAGCTTTTTACCCTTGTCAATCCACGAAAATGATCACATTCTATGTCTCTCACATTGGTACATTTTGTTTCATGAAAGAAGAAACAGTGTGGCTAGGTAAGAGCATTTTCCTAACTTATAGAGCTTGTGAGAAGAGGATCAAGGTTGTGTGTGTGTGTGTGTGTGTGTGTGTGTGTGTGTGTGTGTGTATGTGTGTGTGTGTGTGTGTTGGTATTGGAACTTGAACTCAGAACCTAGGTGCTGTCCTTTAGCTTTTTTTGCTCAAAGCTGGCACTCTCATTTGAGCCACAGCTCCATTTCTGGCTTTACTGGTGGTTAATTAGAGATTACTTTTGAACCTTGATCCTCAGATCTCAGCCTCCTGAATAGCTAGGATTACAGAGTGAGTCATCAGAGCTTGGGCAGGATCCTGGATTTAGACCCAGGCAGGTGGTTCCTAGAGACTATATGCTTAATCATGACATCACAGCAGAAAGAGAGCTGTCATTGTCTCTTCCTACTCTTGGTAGAACGATGATGCAGGACTTCAACTACTGCCTAATCCTGGGAGATTGTTCTCTGCTCAGGAGCTGCCCTGACTATGTGACCTGTAACCTCTTCCTCTTCTCGTTTCAGTGCTCTGTCCTACCTAACTTTGCCTTTGGAGCAGCCTGGCTGCAGGAGGTCACTGAGCAAGAGTCATTCCATCACAGGGACTGCATGACATCACGTAACCTCCGATATGTATTTAAACATGTATAGCTTAACTTGGATTAAACTCGAGCAATCGCGGGCGGGGTCCTTTGCTGTCGGCTTCTAGTGCTAGTAATCATTGGATGCATGATCAGGGCGCAGGGCCGGTGATGCTCGCTGCCTCTTCTCCAGCTGTGTCCGGGAAGGCAGGTGTCCTCACCGCTCATTCTGTAGTCTGGCTCCGGCCCTCAAAAACAAAAACAAAAACCAAAACAGCTTATACTCTTAAGACTAATTTTGAAATAAACCTTCATTTAATTAATATTCTTCATTGCTTTGGAGTCTGGCATCTGTAGCCCTCCGCTTCACACTCTGTAGAGAAAACACGTGTGACTGCTTTCATGTGCTCTCCTATGGCCCTACCTTGGTGGGTCATGGCGGGTGGTAGGGCTATGTATGTGGAAGGCCATACGCAGAACTCCTAGGTTCTTGCTGCTTGGCCATATTAAAGGGAATGCCATGGAGAAGCCAGACAGATGCAGTGCTTCGTGTGGGAATAGGCAGGTTGGTTCCTGAAGGCTTTGAGGATCCAGGGCTCTGTTGAACTCACCCAAGATGGCTTCTTTCCTGTGCTGGGACACTGCTTTCTCTGTGCGCAGTCACCCCTGGGAACAGGGCCCTGGAACTTTACATGTCCTTCTGCCTTTCCTGCTGCCCTAATGTTACAGCAGTGTGAACTCCTACATGCAGTTTCTGGCACTGACAGCTAGCAGCTGCCGGTCTCCACACATGAGCAGGCAAAAGCTGTCCTCATATTCCAGATGCTTCTCTGCTTCGTTACATTCTGAATTCTGTTGATTTCCTGTGTTCTGGTTTGAAAGATGTTAACCTGGCCAATTCCCAAAGCCTGGGCACTGTCCCTGAGCTTCTTTTGCTCAAGGCTAACACTCTACCACTTGGGCTACAGTGCCATTTCTGGCTTTTTCTGTGTATGTGGTACCGAGGAATCGAACCCAGGGCTTCATGCATGCTAGGCAAGCACTCTACCACTAAGCCACATTCCCAGCCCAGGTCTTATCTCTTTTTACATGGTGTCTCATCATGGCTATCAAATACCATGAGTAGTTACTGGTATTAGAATTTTTCCCATAGAAGGAATCAAAAGACAGAGAGAGATGTATCAAAATGAGCTGATGGTTCGTGCCTATACTCCTAGTTACTTAGAAGCCTGAGACCTGGAGGATCATGGTTTGAAGCCAGCCCAGGCAGAAAAGTCCACAAGACTCTATCTTCAAACAGCAAAATGCTAGACTGGGGGCAAGGTTCAAATAGTAGAGCACCAGCCATGAGTGAGAAAGCCAAGAGAGAAAACAATATAATGAGAAGAAGCAGAGATGGCCCTGTGCTGGCCTGAGGCTGCATAGGAAGTGGTAGAGAGAGACTGGCAGGTCTCTTATCCAATTAGATATCCGCTGATGCTTAGGAGTATGGCATTTGCTTTAACTGAGCATGCTACGTGCAATAGCATAGTGTTCAGAGAAGGCCACAGAGTGACAGTAGAAGACATGACACAGGTGACAATAAGATGACATCCTAGGTGCTCTGCCTCTAACTTCCTGGGCCTCTGCTGGGTGCTGAGGTCCCCAAACAAATCCACAGGGTCAACCAAGTGACATCACTATTCATCCTTTGACACAAAAGGGATGAGCTCAGTTCTGCCCCTCTGGGGCACTGGGGCTGAAGGCAGGAGGGGTCGCGGGTGGTGTGAGGTCACACAGGCAAGTGTCACACTTGTCAGCTGTCGATTTTTCATCAGTGTCAGCAAAGAGGAAGCAACGAATCCCCAAGAGCTTTTCCCCCTGCCTTGGATTTGTCAGATCTGGGTCAGCCACTCCTTTCCCCCAATTTATCCTGCCAGCAGGTGTCTGAAGCAGCAGAGACAAGCTAATCAAAGCTGCCGGTAGTTTAAAAATAAATCTGAAGTGTCAGGGACATACTTAGTCCAGGAGGAGGAGGTGAGCAGGAAGCGGGGAGAGCAAGGCCTCCTCTTTCCTTTCGCCTTTTGTCCACATCAGGAGTTTAGAGGGAATGTGAAACCCACACCTCATGATTTTGCATTGTCCTTCCCTCTGTCGGTGCTACTCAAGGTGTGATGTCCAGCAGCAATGTCCACACCTACTTGCTTGTTTGAATGCAAAATCTCAGGTGGGCCCCTAGACTTAGCAGGACAGCGTGCACACTCAACAAACCTCCCTGGAGCTAGTCTTTGCATCAGGTCTTAGAAGGCTCTGCTCTAAGGTTGCAGAGTTGCTGTAGCTCTAACTTGGGATGAAAGCAAAGGAAACAGGGATCGTCTGATTACAGGTACACCAAGCTTTCCCTTACAATTCCGTATACTCATCCCAATGGTGAATGTGGATAGTTGAGGGTCTAGTGAAAGTTGATTACAAAACTCAAGTACATTCTAGGATGGCCACACTCACTCACTGAGGAAAAGAGGAAAGTCTCTGGGAACATTCTTAAGAAGATCAGAGGCCAGCTGGCTGGTAGGTCCTTTAACTGAAGTGCTTTCTTACTCATTAACGGTGTTGTTGCCAGGCCCTTGTGGCTCACATTTGTAATCCTAGCTACTCAGGAGGCTGAGATCTGAGGACCATGGTTCGAAACCAGCCCAAGCAGGAAAGTCTTGAGATCCTTATCTCCAATTAACAACCAAAAATGGGAAGTGGAGCTGTGTGGCTCCAAGTGGTAGGGCACTAGCCTGGCCCTGAGTTCAAGCCCCATGACAGAAAGAAAGAAAGAAAAAGAAAGAAAGAAAGAAAGAAAGGAAGGAAGGAAGGAAGAAAGAAAGAGAAAGAAAGAGAGAGAGAGAGAGAGAGGAAGGAAAGAAGGAAGGAAGGAAGGAAGGAAGGAAGGAAGCAAGCAAGCAAGCAAGCAAGCAAGCAAGCAATCAAGCAAAAAAGAATTTTGTTAAATTTAGTCTGGTCAAGTCCACGGAAGAAAATTCCCTTGTGGTGCCTTTATTTCTCCTGAATTATAACTTGTGATCACAGGGATAGGCTGTTTTCCAAATGGAATAACTCCAGGGTCACTGTCCTTTCCCAACTTTTTCAGAATGGGACACAAATTGGTCTGCCAGAAAGAAAACTGCAAAGGAAAGGCTTTGTAGCGTCTCTACACCCAAGTTTTGGACAAATTGATTTTTAAAATTGAATCAACTGGCTTATACTCATAATCTAATCTATTCAGGAGGCTGAGATTTAAGAGTCATAGTTTGGAGCCAGCCTGGCTGACACATTCCTGACACTGTTATCTCCAATTAGCCTGTAAAAACAAATAAACAAAACAAAGAACAGACATGGAGGTATGGTTCAAGTGGTAGAATACCAGTTATGAGTAGAAAAAAACTGAAGGAAAAGTTCAAGGCCCCGAGTTCAAGCTTCAGCACACACACACACACACACACACACACACACACACACACACACACACACACAAACACTGACCTCTCGTGTGACCTCTCGTCATACATATTGGAATAACATCTAGAGTATGACTCTCTTCATTGGCCAGAGAAGGCTGGATGAATACTATCACCAACAAACAGGCATGATCGCCAAGCGCCAGTGGCTCATGCCTGTAATCCTAGCTACTCAGGAGGCTAAGATCTGAGGATCGAGGTTCAAAGCCAGCCCAGGCAGGAAGGTCCATGAGACTCTTATCTCCAATTAACCACTCAGAAAATTGGAAGTGGCACTGTGGTTCCAGTGGTAGAGCGCTAGCCTTGAGTTGAAGAGCTGAGGGACAGCGCCCAGGTCCAGAGTTCAAGCCCCATGACTGAAAAATAAAACAAAAACAAAACCAAAAAACCAAAAACCAGGCATGATCTATTGTCTTCTTTTGTTTTATTTTTTATGTTTGGAGCTAAGGATTGACGAGGCCTTCCACGTGCTAGATGTGGGATTACCATTAAACCAGTTGTTTTAGAATAAACTTATCACCATCTTCATGCACTTGGCCAAGCCCATTCTTTGGGAACTGGCCTTGTCCAAGGCATTTTCTCCACATGGAGGGCAAGAGCATTGTAGGGGCCACCTCAGGGAGCCAGCTTTCCCTGAAGCAGAAGCAAAAACTGGGGAGAGGCAGCTAGGATCCCAGAAGCCAGGAGAGGTGATTCCACACCTAGCCGGCCTCTGTGATTAGTATGCGTGGAGAGGGGAGTAATTACATGCTACTCGTGGGCCAGAGACACTCCCATTCTTCATGGTGCCTGATTATTTCTTTTGAGGATGTGAGGATGGTCATTTGGATTTCTGTCGGAGCCAGTGGTTTGCTCTCCTCCTTTCATTAAGAAGGGAAGCAAGCACAGGCCACTCTGCTGACCTGAAAGGTAGTTTGCTTCTTAATGCCTTTCTTCTCAAAGAACAATGAGCCACCTTGGCCTAGAGCCTTGCACCATTCTCTCCCCCCCACCCCAGGCCCTCATGCATATTCATCTTGCTTCAAACAGCACAGCATGGTATATGCAAATTGGCCAGGCAGGAGCTGGTTGGCATTTTGATAATAGCTTTGTCTGAAAAAAACCCCAGGGACACTTGCACATCTAGCTTGCATGTTCTCTCTCTCTCTCTCTCTCTCTCTCTCTCTCTCTCTCTCTCTCTCTCTCTCTCTCTCTCTCTCTCTCTCCCTCTCTCTCTTTCTCATCCTATGTCCAGAGCTCTCCCACTCCTAACCTGCCCCAGGAAAATGAATCACAGAGTAGACTCAATGAAGAAGTTAATGGGAAACCAGGGGTCTGGATTCAAGTCCAGAGTAGTCCCTCACCCTCTCTCTTCCTTGAAGAGAATCATTGAGATTTTTTCCCCCCTACCAGTGTTGCTGGGTCTGACGATTCCCCAGAGCCCCAGGTCTGCCCTCTGCTTTCATTGGACACCACCTCCCTCTGCTTTATGGTCTGCTCACTCATCCTGCGTCATCTCTCTGAGATTAGCTCCCCGGCCCTTGTCACCTCCCTCATCATCCAACCTAGTTTTGTCCTTGCTCCTAGTAGCCAAGACTAAAACCCTAAGCTCTTGGCCTCGATCTCCAAACACTAGGGGAAGTGGGGTGGGTGAGTGGGGTGGCGACCTACACAGAAAAACCAGGTATGGCTGGAAGCTGTCATCACTGACATATCACTTAGATTCAGTAGTTGCTAACACAGGCAAGTCTCTAAACCATCAGCAATGGTGTAGCTGATAGGCCCTGGTCTTCTCCTCCAGCCTAGCCTGTAGCTGACTGACTTCCAGATCCCTCCTGGAACAGAGCTTTCTGGAGAGTACA